CAAATCCCTTATGAATACACAGTGGAAGTAAAGAACAGATTTAAGGAACTAGATTTGGTGGACAGAGTGCCTGAAGAACTTTGGATAGAGGCTCGTAACATTGTCCAAGAGGCAGCAACGAAAACCATCCCAAAGAAAAGGAAATGCAAGAAAGCAAAGTGGCTGTCCAACGAGGCCTTAGAAATAGCAGAGAGGAGAAGGGAAGCAAAATGCAAGGGAGATAGGGAAAGTTACAGAAACTTGAATGCAGACTTCCAAAGAATAGCAAGGAGAGACAAGAGGGCCTTCTTAAATGAACAATGCAAAGAAATAGAGGAAGATAACAGAAAAGGAAAGACCAGAGAGCTGTTCAGGAAAATTGGAGATATTAGAGGAACATTTTGCGCAAAGATGAACATGATAAAAGACAAAAATGGGAAGGACCTAACAGAAGCAGAAGACGTCAAGAAGAGGTGGCAAGAATACACAGAGGAATTATATCAGAAAGATGTGGATATCCCGGACAACCCAGACAATGTAGTTGCTGACCTTGAGCCAGACATCCTGGAGAGCGAAGTCAAGTGGGCCTTAGAAAGCCTGGCTAACAACAAGGCCAGTGGAGGTGATGGCATTCCAATTGAACTATTTAAAATCTTGAAAGATGATGCTGTTAAGGTGCTACATTCAATATGCCAGCAAGTTTGGAAAACTCAACAGTGGCCAGAGGATTGGAAAAGATCAGTCTACATCCCAATCCCAAAGAAAGGCAGTGCCAAAGAATGCTCCAACTACCGTACAATTGCACTCATTTCACACGCTAGCAAGGTTATGCTCAAAATCCTACAAGGTAGGCTTCAGCAGTATGTGGACCGAGAACTCCCAGAAGTACAAGCTGGATTCCGAAGAGGCAGAGGAACTCGAGACCAAATTGCTAACTTGCGCTGGATTATGGAGAAAGCCAGAGAGTTCCAGAAAAATATCTACTTCTGCTTCATTGACTATGCAAAAGCCTTTGACTGTGTGGACCACAGCAAACTATGGCAAGTTCTTAAAGAAATGGGAGTGCCTGACCACCTTATCCATCTCCTGAGAAACCTATATGTGGGACAGGAAGCAACAGTTAGAACTGGTCATGGAACAACTGAGTGGTTCAAAATTGGGAAAGGAGTACGGCAAGGCTGTATATTGTCCCCCAGCTTATTTAACTTATATGCAGAATACATCATGCGGAAGGCTGGACTGGAAGAAACCCAAGCCGGAATTAAGATTGCCGGAAGAAATATCAACAACCTCCAAAGAACCTTGTAATGAGGGTGAAAGGGGAGAGTGCAAAAACGGCCTGAAACTCAACATCAAAAAAACTAAGATAATGGCCACTGGTCCCATCACCTCCTGGCAAATAGAAGGGGAAGATATGGAGGCAGTGACAGATTTTACTTTCTTGGGCTCCATGATCACTGCAGATGGAGACAGCAGCCACGAAATTAAAAGACACCTGCTTCTGGGGAGGAAAGCAATGACAAACCTTGACAGCATCTTAAAAAGCAGAGACATCACCTTGCCAACAAAAATCCAAATAATCAAAGCTATGGTTTTTCCTGTAGTGATGTATGGAAGTGAGAGCTGGACCATAAAGAAAGCAAATCGTCGAAGAATTGATGCTTTTGAACTGTGGTGCTGGAGGAGGCTCTTGAGAGTCCCCTGGACTGCAAGGAGAACAAACCTATCAATTCTAAAGCAAATCAACCCTGAGTGCTCACTGGAAGGACAGATCCTGAAGCTGAGGCTCCAGTATTTTGGCCATCTCATGAGAAGAGAAGACTCCTTGGAAAAGACCTTGATGTTAGGAAAGTGTGATGGCAAGAGGAGAAGGGGACGACAGAGGATGAGGTGGCTGGACAGTGTCTGCGAAGCAACCAACATGAAATTGACAGTACTCTGGGAGGCAGTGGAAGATAGGAGGGCCTGGCGTGCTCTGGTCCATGGGGTCATGAAGAGTCGGACACGACTAAACGGTGAAGGAACAAGTTGAAAGGAGGAAGAGAGCCATGTCTGTTGCATTGACCACAGTGGTAGAAAAAATGTAACCAATAAATAAACAAGTCAAAATCCTAACTCATGGATACAGTCCACAAAATTCAGTAGGATTTATTCACTGGTCTTATTTTTCAGTTTTCCCTTAACTCAGGAAAGCCCTACGGTGTCAGTTCATTTTCCCAAGTAGTGACAATTCCCACAACCATACCAGTGTTTGAGGAGAACTGCTTGAAGAAAATTAGGCCAAGTTAAGTATATTTGATTTCTTTAAGTATTGCAGAACTCAGGTCAAATACATCTGTTTGGTTATGAGTGCTGAGCTAATTTAATATTTGTAACACTAGATAGTGAAAGAGATTAAATGTCGTTCGTTAAGACATTCATCAAAATTGGTATAGTATGTGCACACAGGTGTTATGATTTGCAAGTAGAAAAGGTCCCCCAGGCATTGAGAATGGGATTCCCCAAGGAGAGAATGTGTCCTGAGAACTAAGGCTCAAGGAAAGGCATTTTACCTATCAACCAGAATCCAAACATGACTTGCCTGACGAGAAGAATTGAAGAATTATGGCCAGATACTAAGAGAAGAAACCAACTGTAGTTGCCTTACCCTGTTAATATTTGCCCTCAAGGCCAGAAATGGATTGTAACCAACAGCAGATACAGGTACATCCAATGTGATCATCCTTTCCTTCCCAGGTAAATCATAACAAGTGCTGCTTCCAAGTGGGAGCAGTAAAAACACAGATGATGTAGCCTTACTTTAAATAGTTACAGCTACCAGATCGATACATAACAGTGAGTACAAGCACAGAGCTATAGAAGGGTGGCTGATTTTGATTAATTAAGTCAGGCAGCATGTGATTTCACAGCACATACTCAGGGTAGCCAACACACATTCAATTTGTGCTCATCAACTAAACATACAATCAGAATGTTAAAACCTTGAACTTTTACAATGGCAAAACCATAAATGAAGCAAAGTATAAATACACAAAGACAATAGTTATCAAGAGAACAACATTTATTCCCTGTTCAGTATCTATATGTATAAGATCTTCAGTACACATCAAATAAAACTTGGTAGTATTAAAGATCCTCCTCTTGGATGCACACCTTAACATTGGAAAAGGGTTTGAGTGTCCGTGAACCTGGGAGCGATGCCATCATGAGGCCAGGCTTCATTACAAGCCTAGAATCTTAGCAGGCTCACCCAAGGAGGAATGGTAACAGCTGAGACACACGACTAAGATGCATCTGCCCTCTTCAAGAGTAACAGCTGCATCGACAGAAGAGAATGGATAGTTAGAGTCATGGCCTAAATATTGGCACCCTTGCGATTCTGTCAGAAAATGCAACCCTTCTCAGAAAATTGTCGCAGTTGCAAATGTTTGGTACTCACATGTTCATTTCTTTGATTTGCGTTGGAACAAAAAAAAAAAAAACCAGAGAAGAAAAGTCAAATCTGATACAGTCCTACACAGAAACCCAAAAACGCACTGGCCAAAATTATTGGCACCCTTAATATTTGGTAGCACCCCCTTTGGAAAAAAAATAACTGGAATCAATTGCTTCCTGTAACCATGAGTGTCTTACACCTCTCTCTTGGAATTTTGGACCACTCTTCTTCTGCAAACTGCTCCAGGGCCTTCAGATCTGAAGGGTGCCTACTCCCAACTGTTGTTTTGAGATCTCTCCACAGGTGTTCTATGGGAATCAGATCTGGACTCATTGCTGGCCATTTCAGAACTCTCCAGCGCTTTGTTTGTAACTCTTTACACTTCATTCTTTTCTCCATGCTCAGTGTCACTCACAACACAAAGGTTGAGTAAACTTTGCTCCATCTTAACTGGTTGCAAGTGTGATTACTATATTGCCCACACCTCTTGCTTGCAACAGGTGTCTCTAAATACAAATTAAAGGAGCATCACACGCTTGAAAAGCAGTTATTTCTTGCAATTTAGACAGGGTGCCAATAATTCTGGCCAGTGCATTTTTGGGGGTTTCTGTGTGGGACTGTATCAGCTTTAACAAATTGAGTTCCCTAAGAAAAGTGGAAAACTGCTTTATAGTTTAGACTAGAGTGAAAGGCAACGTGGTGCAGTGGACAAACTTTCAGACGAGGGTCTGCATTCAAATCCCTGCTCGGCCATGGCAACTCCTATCAGGTGACGATGGCAAACCAGTCCTTGAACATCTTGAAACTCCTACTGGGCTCACCATCCACTGGCAGCAATTTAATGGCACATAACAACCATATTGGCTGCAGTCATCTTGAAGCAGAAAGGAAGGAAATGCAATCTTTTACCCCCAGCAGGGCACTAATAGAGAGTGAGAACGCTAACCGGATGGTATAGAAGGTGAATAAATAAACAAATACAGACAGACAGAATGGGAATTAATTGCAATAAGGGCAGCAATTCATAACAATAATAACAATTGTGTGTGGTGAAATCAATATTGAATTACAGCAACCCTTTCCAGTGCTTTCTAGGTACTGTACAGAGTATGTACACAGAAGTGGTTTACCAGTCCCTTTTTCTGGGGACATCCTGGGACTGTGCAGCTTGCCTGAGGCCACACAGGCTGGCTCTTCTCGCAGGAGGCTCGGGGGAGCGGGGGAATTGAACTCTCAAACTCTTATACGTAACCCTCCGAGCTATAAGGTCGCCTAAAGTCGGACTTGACGGCACATACCAGCAACAGTAAAAGGTCCTACCCTACCTCATTTCTAATTATGGGCTCTGAACAGGCTGCGGTTTTCAGCAGCAACTCGATGTACACAGGTCCTGTTGGAAGACAGGCCACCCGCCCCCGAACTGAAAGGGGCGACGCCGCTCGCCCAGCAGTCCTAATGACCCGCCACGCGCCTCGCCCCTCTCCCTTACTCGAAAAGGAGGCAAAAGCGCTTCTAGAGGAGAAGGCGGGGCAAAGGGGGGGGGAAGAGCTATAAAGTAAGAAGGGCGGAAGTTGGGCGACATTACCTTCGTATCCACCGTCGGCCCCTCCCGATAACCGACTCGCTCCTTGAAGCGGCTCAGAAAGGCAGGCTCGGCCGGCCTCACGTACGACACCTGGTTCCTTTTGCTCATGGTGGCGGTGGGTTTAGCCTGGCTTAGAGGAGAGAGAGAGAGCGGGAGAGAGAGGTGAGCATGAAATGACAAAGCGTCAGAAGGCCAACCTCCCGCCCCCAGACGCCATCTTGCCCCGTTTTGTCATGTGATGCAGGCTAGTTCCTTCCTCTCCGTCCCTACCTCAATGGCTGCGCCCACGGCGGCTTCACGGCGGCAGTGACGAGCACCAGGAAGGCTTCCTTAGCGCCAAATTCAAAGAGGGTGCCATTTTGATCAGGGACTTCTGTCCCTGGCGGCGGGGACAAGTCAGTCAAGACGGGGAATGGCTCCCGGGACCGCGGGTAAGAGAAGCTGGGACCGCAAGGGGGAAGAAACGGGAGGCTGGTAGAAGGCTCCAGGGAGGTTCTTTTAAGAGCTGGCATTGGACTGAATGGCCTTTGGAAGCCCTTGAGCAATCTGGTCCGAGTCCCGTTCTGGTGTCTTGTTTAGAAGCAGGAAAGAGAGGGTTTAATGGCAGCTCTGTTTTCAATTTAAAGACCCATTTTCCGACATTTAAAATAAAATTAAAATTGCATGATTTCTTTAGCGAAGCTGCCACTGAGAAGTGCTTTCCTCGCGTAAGGGCTGAAGTGCCTGGTTCAAGAGCCACCGAGGTTGGCGGGACCCTGTTGACATCCGCACGTGCAGCAGAATGCGTGTTAGTGTTCCGTGGTGACGAGACGGGTGGCCGCTTTGAACCACGGACGGAGGAGGGGAACTCACCCTTAGAGGGTTGCCTGACCTGTAAGAAGGAAAGCATGCTACTGCTCCCTGCTTGGCAAGACGCTCTTCTTGAATCATGTTTTTGTCACAATCGGATAGTTTGTTTTCATTGCATACGAGTCATTTTAAAAGGGGTATTTGAACATGTGTGGATTCAACTAAACTCGCTTACGCTTGAGAGAAGTGGCGGAGCTTTCAGAAATACCGGAGCAAATATGTAGTATTTCATCTGGAATGGGCACAATTCCAAAATAACAACATCACCGCATGCTGCTAGCGCACTTCTGTGTGCAAGAAAGCTCCCATTAAAATATAATCGTTAGTCTTTAAATGCCACCGGTTTTTCTCCCTTTTTAGTGTAAATAGACACGTCTAATGAAAAAAAGACAATGATTATTATTTTTCCGTCCTTTGAGTTTTGTCTGAAATGCTTGCACAGAGTAACAAGACTGCCTCTTCTAAAGGTACAAAGCAGTAACAGTTACAGTCTTTTAATTTAAATCATTAAAAAACTGACCGTTCCATGTGAACATTCACCTCAAAACAAAACTTATTGAAGAAGCATTGATAACTTCATTGTGAGTAACAATGAAACTTTTTTTCTAGGTGAATCACAAGACATGGTGCCTGTGTCATCTAGGTAAGAACCTACTATTGTTTATAAATTTTAGAACAGGGGTTCTTCCACAGTACAGTATAATTGTTGTTAAACAGAGGTTTCATATTATCTCCCCACACAAACCTGTAGTAGAAACTGCTTTTCCCCTCCTTGGCAACCTTTATGTTCACTGATGCTACAGGTACAGTGGACCCTTGACTTACAGACGGCTCGACTTACAGACTTTTCGAGTTACAGACTTCTCTGGCTGCAAAATTTAGATTCGACTTGCAGCCAGAGAATCGACTTACAGACCAGAAAAAAACCAAAATGGAATAAAAATGGAATAAAAACCACTGGTTATGGGATTAATCGGTTTTCAGTGCATTGTAAGTCAATGGAGATTCGACTTACAGACTTTTCGACTTGCAGCCACCATTCCAATACGGATTAATTCCTTAAGTATAAGGTCCACTGTACTAACTTTCAATTCTGCCACCTTTTGAAAGTGATTAGTTTATAGTGGACAGCTTAGAATTGAATTATGGGATGAAAATTATTACAGTTCAAATAAACTCCATTCCAGGTGAGCCTAAGCATTTAATGGAACATGCCTGATTCTGGCATGTGTCTTCTGGAGGAAAAACTTTCAAGCAGCACCTCCACCTATACAAAGGACAGATTTTTGATTAGTACCTAGGACCTGTCTTCTTAAGAAAGGGTTGGGTACAGATTTCATATTCTTAATGAATAAATGTGGGTTCCTTAGAGATCCAGAACTGTATGGCAGAAATTGGTGAGGCAAAGGTAACATGTTGCTGTTTATTTTAATTTATACAGTGTTTTTTTTCCTATTATAAGTAAACCAAAGGTAGACTTCAGCAACCAGGAAAATTCGCAAAAGAGGAAAAAGCCTTGTTTTAAGCAAAAGTTCATTGCTGAACCTATGCTGCTGCCCAGTGAGAAAAATCAGACCACAAATCAATGTCATTTCTCAAAACAAGATATAAATGCACTCTTCTTGTATGTTAACTTTTTCTCCAACCAAGTGCAGCACTGTAATCCTACTAGCCATTCCATCTCTATAACATTACTAGTGCTGTGGAAGACCTAAAATGAAACACTTGCATAATGTGATCCATATTTGAGGGAAGAAAACCTTGTTGTGTTTAATGGGCTTAGTCATAGATGAGTTGGTGTTATTTTCTCTTTAGTAATCAAAGAGTAGAGCTCCCCTCTTGCATTTTCTCAGGATGGAAGATAAGATTCTAAAAGTGCAACAGTATGGCCATTTTTTGCATCAGTTTATCTGTTGTACTTCACTTACGGAGGTACAAATTTAGCCTCACCATTTTTCTTTAAAATTAAGGTTTAAAAAAGGTTTCCCCTTTTGAGAATCATAGGTTTACAACTCAATTCCAATCGGCTGGAAGATAGACAGTGGTGTGGATTACTGTTCAGTAACCAATAACAAAGCTAAACAATTCTGTCACATTATGGTAGAACCTATTACTTGGCTATTGCAGATCCCCAAGATGGGATGTCTGTCAGCATATCATTACAGGGTATGTGTTAAAAAGATGTGCCAGAATCACATTGCTCCATTCCACCCACATATCTCCCCACACAAACCTGTAGTATGATTAGTGAAGATTTTTAGAGCTTGTGCATTTGTTAAGCCCTACTAAAATCAAGAGAAACAATTGCCAACAATTGAAAACTGAAGAATGTCCCTGCTACAAGACAATTCTGGCTGATGCCATTTATTGTTTATATGATGTGACAGGTAGAAATATATTTATTGTAGCAAATAAACTTATTTATATATGATTCAACATTAGATTATAGTAGCTTGAGAGAGATCAAATTTTGCATAACGTGCTAACTGTTTTCCTAGTATACTCATGCAGATGTCAATTGCTTTAGTGCTGAAGGCGATGCTATCAAGGTTTATGTGAGGGTCCGTCCTCCTTCAGAAGGAACCCTACATGTTGATGTGGAGAATGGGATGTGTTTATCTATTCTTTCACCAAGCACCATCCGTCTGCATTCAAAGCCTGAACCTAAGATTTTCACCTTTGATCATGTAGCAGATATGAACACAACACAGGTAATTGCTTGGCTTGCCAGTGCGGATGTTACATTAATTATTTTAGGTTTTAAGCTGTAAATAATGAAAGTTAAAAAAATTTAATCAATTCTTATACTTTTAAGAGACAGGACAATGTAATTTCTTTTTTTACCCCACAGCTCTGGTTTGTATTAGGAAATGGTTTACACTGAGCCAGGTGATTTTATGTGCAATTCTTCTACTGTACATTGAAAGGGAATGTGTCCATTCAAAGGTTGGTACAGCACAATTCTATAACACAGATAGCAGCCTCTCTTTCTGAGTCTAATTGCAATATGAGTGACAGAAATTTAACTTTTTTATTGCGTTTTATATACAGAACTTTGATTGGACTTGATCTGCCTATAAAACTACTGTATACATCTAACGTGACATACAGTTATTTTCATAATATAATTTTGAAAATTGAATAAAAGTATTAAAAATATAGGCTATCAGCAAGAAAGCATAAACGGAACATCATGCCTTGTCCCCATTTACATGCACAACTGTGTGTGCAACTTATGTTTCGACTTACAGCAGGAAACAGTCTCCCTCAGTACATAACAGCATAGTGATACATTTTAATAGCGTTTTCCCATAGACCAAACTATCTTAATTCAGATGACTGAATGAGGGAACAGCAATTTCTGTATCATGATCAATGTGAAGGATGTGAAATTAAAGTCTCTCTCCTCCCCTCTCCCCAATGGACTCAGACATCCTGTGTCTCTGCTGCTTTTTCTCCATTGCTGTTTGAATGGGGAAATGGTGGTTCTGGCAAGGTTAAGGCACTGATCAAAATTTCCCTTCTCCCCATTGATGCTTGATCGCATGGGTTCCAGGAGTAAGTGAGGGGCTCCTCCAGGCTGCATCAAGAGCGCGTAAGGGACATGTGAAACCAAATATCTCTGAAATGTGCAGTCAAATTAAAAAGAAGGCAATCCATGGAAGGTCACATTAGCAATACTTTCATTAGGACAACCAAAATGAAAAAAAAAAATGATTACAGGTTGTCCCCCAGTTCAGTTGACCTTTATATTTTAAGAAAAGGTGATCAGCTGTTGCTTCTCTTTCAGAATGTTATATTTAGGTACACATTGTGACACTTGCCAATACGTAATTCATTCATTCTGAAAAATTATTTTAAAGAGATTTTGGGCATCATGACATCTAGCCTAATTTCTGGAACTTTCTCTTCCTTTCTTCCACCATAAAATCATAGAATAATGAAGTTGGAAGGAGCCTATAAGGCCATCGAGTCCAACTCCCTGCTCAATACAGGATTAGAAATCAAAGAATATCTGTCAGGTAGTTGTCTAAATTTCTCTTCAAAGCTTCCAGTGTTGGAGCACTCACCTACTGATGAAGAATTCTGGGAAACACAAAAGCATGCATGTTTCTCAAGTATTTTGTCGGCTTTTACCCAGCTGTTAAAAATTGGGGTAATCTAGCCAGTTCCCATCCGTTAATTACCACTAATGTGCTTTAAATATGCAGTTTTTAAAATGTTTAAAGAAAAAAACAACAACTTTGTATCATCTAGGAATCCTTGGTGTAGTGATTTTTGCTATTCCTTCTAAATAAATACTTTGAACCTGCCAGAAAGTTTGCTAAACTGCTGTTATCCAATGCAGATTTCAGAATGTTCAGAATCCAAAGCAGAATGTTTCAGAGGAGACAGGCACATGCCTGTCTTACCATAAGATGAAGCATTACAAATCTCCTCCTCTGAAGCCACAACTCAATGCTTATTACCCCTCTTGTTTTAAGATCACAAACAGAATATATGGATGCTGGGAGGAGATAAAAAGTAGAAGTGTCATGTGAAAGTTGATTAATTTTGGCTGTTCTGTGGTGTGTGTGTGTGTGTGATTAAGATTTATGACAGCAGTTTCTATTTTGATAATAGTTACATTCATTAAAAACATTTTTATAATTTGTTGTTGTTGTTTAGTTGTTAAGTCATGTTCGACTCTTCGTGACCCCATGGACCAGAGCACTGCCTCCCGGAGTTGGGTCAAATTCATGTTGGTAGCTTTGGTGACACTGTCCAACCATCTCATCCTCTGTTCTCCCCTTCTCCTCTTGCCTTCACACTTTCCCAATATCAGGGTCTTTTCCAAGGAGTCTTCTCTTCTCATGAGATGGCCAAAGTATTGGAGCCTCAGCTTCAGGATCTGTCCTTCCAGTGAGCACTCAGGGTTGATTTTCTTCAAAATGGATATGTCTGTTCTCTTTGCAATCCAGGGGACTCTCAAGAGTCTCCTCCAGCACCACAATTCAAAAGCGTCAATTCTTTGGCGGTAAGTCTTCTTTATCGTCCAGCTCTCACTTCCATACATCGCTACTGAAAAACCATAGCATTGCCTGTGCGGACGTTTGTCGGCAAGGTGATGTCTCTGCTTTTTAAGATGCTGTCTAAGTTTGTCATCACTTTCCTCCCAAGAAGCAGGTGTCTTTTTATTTCGTGACTGCTCTCACCATCTGTAGTGATCATGGAGCCCAAGAAAGTAAAATCTGTCACTACCTCCTTATATTCCCCTTCTATTTGCCAGGGGGTAATGGGACCAGTGGCCATAATCTTAGTTTTTTTATATTGAGCTTCAAACCATATTTTGCACTCTCCTCTTTCACCCTCATTACGAGGTTCTTTAATACCTCTTCACTTTCCGCCATCAGAGTGGTATCATCTGCATATCTGAGGTTGTTGATATTTCTTCCGGCAATCTTTTTTCCAGCTTGGGATTCATCCAGTCCTGCCTTTCACATGATGTATTCTACATATAAGTTAAATAAGCAGGGAGACAGTATACAGCCTTGTCATACTCCTTTCCCAATTTTGAACCAATCATTTGTTCCATATCCAGTTCTAACTGTTGCTTCCTGTCCTACATATAGATTTCTCAGGAGATAAATAAAGTGGTCAGGCACTCCCATTTATTTAAGAACTTGCCATAGTTTGTTGTGGTCCACAGAGTCAAAGACTTTGCGTAGTCAATGAAGCAGAAGTAGATGTTTTTCTGGAACTCTCTCGCTTTCTCCATAATCCAGTGCATGTTCGCCATTTGGTCTCGTGTTCCTCTGCCCCGTCGAAATCCAGCTTGTACCTCTGGGAGTTCTCAGTCCACATACTGCTGAAGCCTACCTTGTAGGATTTTGAGCATAACCTTGCTAGCATGTGAAATGGGTGCAATTGTACGGTAGTTGTAGTATTCTTTGGCTCTGCCCTTCTTTGGGATTGGGATGTAGACTTGATCTTTTCCAATCCTCTGGCCACTGCTGAGTTTTCCAAACTTGCTGGCATATGGAGTGTATCACCTTTATGGCATCATCTTTTAAGATTTTCAATAGTTCGACTGGAAATCCATCACCTCCACTGGCCTTGTTGTTACCCATGCTTTCTAAGGCGCACATGGCTTCACTCTCCAGGATGAGAGAGTGAAGCTCAAGGTCAGCAACCACAGTATCTGGGTTGTCCGGGACATCCAGATCTTTCTGGTATAATTCCTTTGTGTATTCTTGCCACCTCTTATTGATGTCTTTTGCTTTTGTTATGTCCCTACCATTTTTGTCCTTTATCCTGTCCATCTTTGCACAAAATGTTCCTTTAATATCTCCAATTTTATCTTTTATTGTACTTTAATTGTATTTTAATTGTTGTAAGCCTGCCAGAGACCTTTGGGTAGAGTAGGCGGCATATAAATTACAGTAAATAAATAAATAAATAAAATAAAGAAATAAATTTTCTTGAACAAATCTCTGGTTTTTCCCTTTCTGTTAATTTCCTCTATTTCTTTGTACTGTTCATTTAAGAAGGCCCTCTTGTCTCTCCTTGCTATTCTTTGGAAATCTGCATTCAATTTTCTGTAACTTTCCCTATCTCCCTTGCATTTTGTTTCCCTTCTCTTCTGTGCTATTTGTAAAGCCTTGTCGGACAGCCACTTTGCTTTCTTGCCTTTCCTTTTCTTTGGGATGGTTTTTGTTGCTACCACCTATACAATGTTATGGGCCTCTATCCTTAGTTCTTCAGGCACTTTGTCCACCAAATCTAGTTCCTTAAATTTGTTCTTCATTTCCACTGTGTATTCATAATTATACCTGACTAGCCCAGTGGTTTTTCCTACTTTCTTCAGTTTAAG